TTCCCCCTGAGCCTCATCCACTTCTAATCATCCCCACCCCCCACCCCTGCCCTCACTGTGAGCTCTGTCAATCCCTGACACATTTCTCCTGCCCCCTTGCCTAAAGCTCTTTCTTTCAACCTCACCACCACCGCAAAGTGCCAAAGCTGTTTGGGTTTCCTACCCACTCATCTCCTGAGGTCAGGCTCCCACAAAGGGGATGCTGAAGGGAATAGTGTGGGTTTCTGAGGGTACAAACCCAATTCTGTGCCGGGAAAATGTCCCAAGACCTCAGAGGCATGGCTTGCCTTCTGTTCATTATTAATATAGCTCATTAGTGCCTCTCGTAAAATCATGCAGGAGGCTGGCAACATGGTTTGTGAGGCCTCCAACTCTCAGGGTTCTGTCACAAGTTCATTCTCTCAGTAGCCTATAGTAATTGAAGACAGACTTCCGTGGTGCTCTGGGTATGCCTTGCCAGAACCAGGAAATCTAGATTACCAAACTCTAGTCTTTTCCAACCAAATGAATCATGTGAGAATGTTCGAGGATCAAGTTTATGTTGAGATGGAGAGAGTATGGTCTAGAATGGTGGTTTCCAAATTGTGGATTGAGGAGCCAGAGGTCCCTCTTAGGCCCCTCCGAAGCTGCTAGGGAAGAAGGAGAAACTCTCAGCTCTCACACCCACTGCACTCAAAGTGGCTCACATTTCATCTGTTTCTCACGTTAGCCTTCCAAGTAAAATTTCATTTTGAGGGAGAAAAAAGATGTCTAAGAAAAGTAATTTAAAAAGTGTGAGGAAGTATATTATAAAGCCTGTTTTTAGTTCTTGACTCTGGGAATGAGAGACTTAATTAGATCTAGCCCGATGGTAAATATACACTGACTTTGTAAGAATTAAGGCTAAATCTTGGTTTTGTATGATATTGAGTGACCAAAATCCTGATTTGCCTGGACTGACCCTGGTTTATAACTCTGCCCCAGGAAAATTCTAAGAGCATCACCTCGACTCTCAAAAGTATCCCAGTTGGGGTGCCGAATTCTATGAACACCCATGGACAAGTGCAGAGCGAAGGGAAGGGTTGGCCAACCTGCCTACTGGGCTAATGAATAAGAGTGCAAACCTGAAGGACAGCACATGGGGATCACCCCGAGAGAATTCAGGGTAAAACCATCCAAGGTTATCAGCTCTCTAAGGGCTAGGGCAGCATAACATTCGCCTTCTTGAGACACTCTGAAAATAGGTCACTACCGAACACTCTCCAGGATTTTGACCGCTGTCATTCTGAAACAGCCAACTGACCAGCCAAGGCATATTTTTCTTTTATCCGTTTTCTTCAGGCCTATGATTACCTCCCTGTTTTTCCTTCTAATTCCTTCCATTCTTTCTTTAAAAAAAAAAAAATTTGACTCCCCATTGGCCATTAGACTGAGGCTGATCGTTTATAACCCCACAAGGGTAACTGGAATATTTGTATATGAGTAGCTGCATGAGAAAGTCCAATGTGCATACTGTATTTATTAAGCCCGAAAGGCATTTAATAAAATATTAACATTGCATTTTGAATCTTGATCTTTGCTTTGCTGGAACAAAATGTAACAGAGCTAACATTTAAAAATCCTTCACATATTTGGACAACATTACACCAAATGTTGATTTTGTACAGAACTCTGGCTTGCTATTTAAATACTAAAACTCCAAGTATATAGTACCCCAAGTTGTGAATATCGCTTTCTGCTTCGGTGAAAAAGCAGTTTACCTGAAAATAGCATGTAACCTATATTTTGTTAATTTAAGCAAATAAAGACATGTTGAAAAGGCTGAGTCAATTATTTGCACATACCTGAAATTTTGCAAGGAAGCTACGATTATCAGTGTCTCACTCCTGCCCTTATCCCTTTTGCCAGGGTGGTTCCTTTTGGAGCTTCAACCCCAGGGATATACAGATTTTGGATTCTCCCTGTCTCAAGACTTCAGAAAGGATTCGTGAACCTCAGACAATCTGCAGGAGGGATGACACCTTCCTCATCCTCTTTTTCTTTCCCATTCAGAAAAACTAGTTTTGGAAGGGTGTTATGAGGAAGTAGGAAGTGAGCAACAAGATGGCCTTCCTCTGTGTCAAGTTCTTTGTAGGATAAAGTTGAACCAAGAGGCCATGTACCATACTGGACATGAGCACCAATTCTGGTGTCAGCTTCCTGGGTTCAAAGCCCAGCTCTCCTACTTGCAATCTTTAGGACCTATGACCAGTTTGTGAACCTCTCTGTGCCTCTGTTTCCTCACCTGTAAAATGGGATTAGGAACCTTCCTCACCAAGTTGTTTGTAGGATAACTGAGTCAATTGTGCAAGACACCTGAAAAGTGCCTGGCTCATGGTTCATGCTGTGGAAGAATTCGCCGTTAACTGTCTCCAGCAAAGTGGCCAGAAAACAGAACACTCAGCTCTTCTTCTCAGCCCACAAAGCTGTGTTGGCAAGCTGTGTTAAACATCATACACTGTTCTATGCCACGCATGGTGCCAGGTGATCACACACTTGACTTTATTCAAACTTCACACAACCCTGAGAGACAAATGTTGTTATTTCCATTTTACTGATTAAGAAATGGAGGTTCAGCAGAGTGAAATAAGTTGCTCCAAACAACCTAGTTAGCAAGTTCTTCGTTTGCCTCCAAAGCACGTACTTTGGAGGTTGGTTTCTTTGGAAGTAGATGATGAGACAAATCTGGGTGCAAGATGTTTACCAGGGATTAGCCCTGGTGAAAAGAAAGGGGAGGAGAGAAGGCTGAGTAAAGAGAGAGGACGAGCTGTGACACAGGCCTGACAAAGGCTCACTCAACATAGCAGATGGCTCACTGCCACGATTGGCCATCAGAGTTGTGCCATATTGGGTAGAGATGCTCAGGGCTTTGCACAGCCTCCTTGCTCAGTTACCAGGTATGGGCTGCCCTGGAAAGGGCACGACCTCAGACGGTGTGACTCTGTAGCAGGGACAGACCCTGAAGGAGCCAGCGGCTGGAGGCTGTCTACTGACCGACAGCTCCATACAAGCCATTCCTTGGAGACACACTGCTTGCCTCATCCCTGTGTCGACTACAGTCTACCCTTTGCATTACTCCAGTACACTTGTCCATATGCATTCACGGAACATCTCCTCAAGGATACCAGTGGGCCTCTCTTTCTGAAGGAAAACTTAGAAGAGGAAGATGAGTGGGATAAACTTTAGCCCTCACTGTTGTCATTAGTCTAGGAGACACAGCTGATACTCCTTCTTCCTCCATTACCTGTCTGGATCATTGTCACCATTAGATACCACCTCTGCTAGTTTCAGTGGCTTTTTAAGTAGTGTGACCCGGAGTCTCATTCCCAAGGGGTCTGAGCCTTCACCACCAAGTTGCTATAGACTACAAGTTTGTGTCATCCCACCCCAAATTTATATGTTGAAGCCCTGATCGCTAGTGTGATAGTATTTGGAGGTAAGCCTTTGGGAAATAATTAGATTTAGAAGAAGTCATAAACCTGGAAGCTGCTCCTGATGGGATTAGACCCCTTACAAGAAGAGGAGGAAACCAAGAGTTCTCTCTTTCTCTACCACATGAGGACACGGCAAGAAGGCAAACCACAAAGCTGGCCCTTAACCAGATACAGAACCTGACAACACCTTGATCTTACAATTCCCAACCTCCAGAACTCTGAGAAATAAGTATTTATTGCTTAAACTACCTAGTCTGTGATACTGTGTTATAGCAGTCCAATTGGATGAAGACATACGGCCTTTTCAGAATGAGGTTGCTGTTCTTGTTCATTTGTAGTCACAAGTAGGAAAGGAAGTACCAAAAGAAACCCAAATGGGTGACCTGGGTTCCACATGTATTCCTCCATGACCCATTTTGTAATCACAGCCTTCTCCCTCCTGATGATTGGGTTGATTACCTCTGCCGGAATGGTGATGCCATTCCTTGTTTGCTGGTCCCCGGAAACAAGGAACAAAAAATGCCTAGACGGCAGCTGTAGCTTCTAATGTAAAGGTACCCTTGCTAAATCCACTGGTGAAAGGGTATTCCTTTTTGAGGATGAGAATTTCTAACCCTGCAGAACCCAGAGTTACAGGAATGAGAAATCTAATAGTGTGTTACTATCAGTATTGACCGGGGTGGTGCGAGGGGGGCAGATTCCTGTCTCTACCCTTGGAAGTATGGGTCTGTTCCTATGATGAAAAAAACCACTGACTCTTCAAGATGGAAAGGCCTCAATACAGTCAATGTCTCACTAATTGATTAATTGATCTTCCTGAACAATGGTGCCATATTGGAAGATCAACATCAGTCTTTGTGGCTGGCATGTTGATATTCAGTAGTAATAAGGGTTAGATCAAACTTGGTAAATGTATTTTACATTGTTAGGTGTATGTGTAGCCTCCATATCTATCACTGTGGCTACTTCATTCATATGTGGGTTTTTTTTGTTTATTTTAGCACTGGAGTGGTTGTTGATAAGGGCTGAATTCAACTGGCAACGTCATTGTCTGGTTTTTTAATGTTTCCTCCATAGTGCATGCTACCTGGTGAATGTTAACATGTGATACAAAGATTTTCATTCTTCTGTTCACTCTCCTATGTCCATCCACCCTAAATAATATTGAATACCTACTTTAATTAGAATCGTCAGGAATTCTCTCTCTTAAAAAGTGACATTTAATTTGGGAACTTTAGAATATAAGGAGGCTGGGGTGCCTGGGTAGCTCAGTGGGTTAAGCCCCTGCCTTCGGCTTAGGTCATGATCTCAGGGTCCTGGGATCGAGCCCCACATGGGGCCCTCTGCTCAGCAGGGAGCCTGCTTCCTCCACTCCCCCTCCTGCCTCTCTGTCTACTTGTGATCTCTGTCTCTCTGTCAAATAAATAAAATCTTTGAAAAAAAAAAAAAGAAGAAAAAGAATATAAGGAGCCAGCCGTGGGGAAAGCCAGGGGAAGGGCATTCCAGACAGAGCAGACAGCATGTGCAAAGGGCTGTGGTATAGGGAACATGGCCAAGGAGAGAAGACAGTGTGGTCGCACACAGCAGGAACAAAAGAGTGATGTAAAGAGAGACTGGCATGGAAAGGCACTGAGCAAGGGGGCTGAAATGATGACATTCACATGTTCTAAAGCTCATTCTGGCTGTAGTGTGGAGGACGGATTGGAAGGAAGCCAGGATGATGTTGGGAGACAACTAAGAAGCAGTTTTAATAGCCTGTGAGAGATAACATCGGCCTTGATTAAGGAGGTAGCAAGGAAGAGTTATAAGTGAATGGTTCAAAAGCTCTTTTGGGGGTCGAATTGATTTGTTCTATTGAAGACTAATTGTCATAATAACAAAAATGTATATTTTTCTAAATACAAAATAAAATGCCACTTAATACAAAGTCCATCTCCTCACATAATGATAGAAAGGATGAATCAGAGTCTCAGAGCTATCCTAAAACCCATGCTCTTTACTCAGTTGGCAAGAGAGCATACTTACCAAGTAATGTAGGTAGAAATAAGCCCGTCTGGTTTCTTGGGGTTTTTTTCTGGGTTACAGTTCTGATGAAATAAATAATCAGGACCAAAGAAATCAATGAAGCTTTTCAGACGCAGAGCCTGGGAAGGAATGGCGGAAGTGAGGACAAATGAGCACACGGTCAGAAATCTGAAAACCAAAGAAAGACGCTAGAACTCCAAGATGGGTAAGTAAGGCTGCAAAGAGTCCTTTTGGTCTCTGTAGGCCCTGAGGACATCTCTGATGCAGCCAGTAAAATAATGCAAGTTAATAACAATGAACTTGCCTGTTTATTAACTAGATGCCCTCCAAATAACATTTTCCTTTGAAGCTCTTCGAAGGGCAACAGTACCGTCATCCGGAAATTTTTATCCAATGCACATATTCTTCAGCAACAATGCAGGACTAATGAGATGTTGTCATATTTTAAGTCCCCAACTGAATTGGCCCACAGCACCACAGTCAACACCTGAAGAAAAAGTAAAACACAAAAACGTGTGGAAGGAATTGGTTCCTATCCTTAAGGAATGCACAGTTCCTAGCAAGGCCTATGGATGCTGGCAGGAGCATGGCTAATGGTTTTTTCAAATCTCCACAAAGCCTTCAAACTGAAAACTGTCTTCCCTGTGAAAACCCAGGTGGGAACACAGCCTGAATCTTGAAACACTGCGGCATTTCATAGTTTTGCACAGCAGAGCTGAGCCAAAAGTAACTTCCAAGCCCATTACAAACTTGCTGTGCAAGTGGAGGAAGACACGTTCATTTGAGAGCTGGGGAGTGACCCTTATAGGGTCCCAGGGGACCCAGTATCAGTGGCGCTCACTGCTTCCTCTTCCCTGGATGCAACAATATATTAAGAGAGAGAAAAAAAAAGAGGAGGCTGGTTCTTTTCATGATTTTCCTTTTTAATTTTTGTTGAAAATGGAACTGTGTTCTCTTGATCCTTCAAACAAATGGAAGGGAAGTGGAAGCCCAAAAGTTTCTCTTAGGCTCCCCAGAGAGGGGAGCTGTGTTTGTAGTGCGATGTGGGAAAAGTCCTTGTGTATCTGCCGCATTGTCACGTCGTACTAGAGTGATTTGTAGTAGGAAGTGTGGGATGAATACAATTTTTATGTAAGAGAAAGTGAAGGAGCCCCAGTCTTTGAATCTAAGGATCTCAGTTTGCCCTTCCTCCCTAAGACGTGCTTCTCCTGACCACAGCACACCCTGCCCCCCATCCTCATTAGATGATGAAAGAAACACAACAACACTCTCTGAACTTGACCCAAACATTGTCCAGCCAGAAATCTTTGTTATTCAGAATGCCCTTGGGCAGGGAAGGAGGAACAGGAGGGAGTTTGGAAGGACAAGCCTGAGAATACAGAAGCATTGCGAAGGGGGTAATGAAAGTTTCTGGCATCCCACCTGAAGAATCATTTTAAACTGATGTTTGTAATAAGCATTGCAAACTGGGTACATCTTAATAAACAAATGGTCTTTGGAAGGAAAATGAAGAGATGCATTAAGAGACATCTAAAAGGATTATAAAGATACTTCTCTAATTTCAGCAATTCATCATTTCAAGCAAACTGGCAAATAATTTTGTTTCTTCTTCCAGAAAGTAGTAATAATGAAACTGTTCTCCAACTTCTGTCAGAAGAGGGGATGGATGAGGTAAAATCTATTAATCATTCTGGATTTGCAATGATAGCTGTGTCATTTGCCTTTGTTGAAGGACAGCTTCCCTTCCAACCTGTCGCAAGCCTAGCGAAGAAAATAGCTTTGCTGGACGCCCCACTGCCAACACCAAGATCGGCCCCCGCCGCATACACACAGTCCGAGTCCGGGGAGGCAATAAGAAGTACCGTGCCTTGAGGCTAGACGTGGGGAACTTCTCCTGGGGCTCTGAGTGTTGTACGCGCAAAACGAGGATTATTGACGTTGTCTACAATGCATCCAACAACGAACTGGTCCACACCAAGACCCTGGTGAAGAACTGTATTGTGCTCATTGACAGCACACCGTACCGACAGTGGTACGAGTCCCACTATGCACTGCCCCTGGGGCTGCAAGAAGGAGGCCAAGCTGACGCCTGAGGAGGAAGAGATTTTAAACAAAAAACGATCAAAGAAAATTCAGAAGAAGTATGATGAAAGGAAAAAGAATGCCAAAATCAGCAGTTTTCTGGAGGAGCAATTCCAGCAGGGCAAGCTTCTTGCGTGCATCGCTTCACGACCAGGCCAGTGTGGCCGAGCAGATGTCTACGTCCTAGAGGGCAAGGAGCTAGAGTTCTATCTGAGGAAAATCAAAGCCCAGAAAGGCAAATAAATCTTCCTCCCACCTTCGGTCATGTAATAAAGGTGTTTATTGTCCTGTCAAAAAAAAAAAAAAAAGAAAAGAAAAGAAAATAGCTTTGCTTCTCAAATCAGGCTAATGTTTAAAATCCTCAGCCATGGTTTTGCAAGACTGTAGACCCTGAGCATTGAGTCAACTGCCTCTTCTGAAAAACCAGCTGAAAAGAAAAGGAATATGAAATCCCCAGTGATAGTAGAGTCTTTAAAGGAAGAAAAAGCAAAAATCAAAGCAAGGTTAGGCAGAGACTTAGAAAGAGATAATTACAATGCCAGCCTCGCAGGGGACCTTTCATAAACATCATTGAGAATAATGCTGCATCTCTAGGAAGTAGGCACCACCGACAGGGTCTAATCCCCTCAGAAGTCACTCTAAGCCCCTATCTGAAACACAGATGATTTTGTGGATTTCAAAGGGCTCCTCTTTCCCGAAAGCTCTGCATGCCTCCATGCTGTTAATCCCCTTACCTTCCTGCAGGGACACTTTACTTTTGATCTCAGGTTTATCTAATCAAATCCTTTGCCTTATTTGGACTGTTAACTCCCTGAGCAAAGGGCTTGCCTACCACCACATCATCTCCAAGTTTTTAGGCCAACCAGAGATTGGATGTGACTGCTATCTCTACTTCTCCTTGGGTTAGTATAAGAAGGGTATGAGATCAATACATGAGGTTACAAGAAAGATCCTGCAAAGGGACCTGCACAAAATGATGCTGTTCAGAAATATACATCTTTCCATGAAGGTTAAACTCTACAGAGAAGGAGGAGCTTCCAGAATTGTCCTGTGAGGATCTCACTGAAACCTCAACCCCATAGAGACATCTATTAAACTATTAAAAGTAGCAGAGACAATCATACAAAAATCTGCAGAGATGGACCAGAAAGGGCTTACAATAATTTAAGTAATATTTATTCAACCACACCTAAAGAAACTCAGTAGGGAGAGTAAAAGACATGGCTGCACCCATCCCATCTACCCAGATCCAGTGTGGTAGGGGATCAGCTCAGTGAGGTTGACAGCCAAATGGCAAGTCCCATGTCCTTAGCTCTGTGCAGACCTCTGGGTGGGGGGCCAAGCTAGGGTGCCAGTTTCCCCACCCCAGACCCCTGCTCCATAAGGAGGAGCTGAGTGGGGCAGCTGGTGAATGCAGAAACTCCTTTCCCCACCTCTCTGTGTTGTGGAAGAGCTACTGAGGAGACTTGGAAACACAGTGGCAGCTCCCATCTCCTCCCATTCCTGTGGAGGAAGGCTATTCAAGACCACCCTGCCCCTGGGCTATGTAACCCCTCTTCCGAGGGAGGTGGTGGCAGCTGGTGGTATGTTTTTACAACGCCGTAATTAATGTAGTTAATGTATTTAATGTAATAATTATATATTACAATGTAATTAATATATTCACAAGTTTTATAATATATTCTTTTTTATTGTGATAAAATATACGTAACATAAACATGACCATTTAAACCATTTTCAGGTGTGCCCTGCAGTGGCCTTAGATACATTTATAATGTCATATAACTGTCACCACTCTCCATTTCCAGAGCTGTTGCATTGTTCCAAACAGAAACTCTGAACCTACTAAACACTAACTCCCTGCTCTCCCTCCCCCAAGCCCCTGGCAACCTGTATTTTCCTTTCTGGCCCTATGAATGTGACTACTCTATAGTCCTTCATCTGCTCAGCTGTTAATGCTGAGATCCATATTTTGTTTTAAAATCTTGTGTTTTTTCATGAATATAAAAAGAAAATAAAGGATGAAACTGGAGTTCTTTCCTTGTAAATAATCTAAGTGGAATTATACAATAGCTCTCCTTTGTGTCTGGCTTAGTTTACTCAATGTCAATATTTTCAAGGTCCATCCATGTTGTAGCATATGTCAAAATTGCTTTCCTTTTTAAGTCTGAATAATATTCCATGGAATGCATAGAGCACATTCCCATTTATCTATTCACCTGTTCTATCATGAACAGTCAGTTGTATTGTTTCTACCTTTTGGCTATTGTGAACAAGGCTGCTGGGAATAGTAGTGGAGAAAGATCTGTTTGAATCCCTATTTCTAGTTCTTTGGGGTATATACCTAAAAGTGGAATTGCTGGGTCGTGTGGTAACTCTATGTGCAACTTTTTGAGGAATCACTGGGCTGTTTTCCCCGGTAGCTGTACCATTTTACATTCCCACCAGCAATGCACAAAGGTTCCAATTTCTCTACATCTTCTTCAAGATGTGAAATTTTCCATTTTTTGCGTAACCGCCATTCTAATGGGTCTGAAGTGGTATCTCATCGTGATCTTAATTTTTAGATTAACACATTTAAATCCCTTCATCTGTTCAGCTCTTAGTGCTGAGATCCATAGTTAGTTGGGTTTTTTTTTTTACTTTTAAAAATTTTTTTACATAGTTTTATCATCTCCTTGTGTTTTTCTCGTGAATATAAACAGAAAATAAAGGATGAACTGGAGTTTTTTCCTTATAAATAGAAACGGAACAGCCCAGTAATTTATGTGGCTTTTATTCCTGTTGTCTTGCCATTGTTTTGTACCTCCTATTCTTCAAAGGGCAAGGACTCTGCCTGAATTTTGAAAAGAAGTCTTTAGTTGTTTTACTGTGTTTTATCAGTCTATTTACTTTTTGGGCGTCTGATGCTATTTTCCCTTGACCCTGAATAGTAAGGTGCCCCTCACAGCTAAAGCAAGCTGACTGTACCCTTGGGTGGCCCTTGTAACGCTTGCACCAAAAAGATTGAGGGCCATCTTCCCTGGGACTTGTCTCTAAACAGTCCGGAGAAACGCATCATCCACGTGAGTGGGGTGTGGGGCGGGAGGGCAGAGACACGCGAGCAGGGAGCAGCGGGTGCAGGAGGAGATCAGGCATTCACCAGGACTCAAGTCACCTGTAACAGTCTATTTTGTTGACCGAGGTCGCCAATTTTAAACTGTACAAGCTTCCCAAAACAACTCCAAAACGAAAAAAACCTCTATGTGACATTTGTGTGTCTGGAGAGAACGAACCAATGTGGCAAATTTTGTACTAATATGAGTTGTTTAGGGATGAAAGCCTCTATTTAGCCTCTAAAACTATGGAACAGAATTCATTTGCCAAAACCTTGACACTTACTCTTAAGCTAAAAACATGTCTGCAGTATTTGCCAACCATTATTTTCCCATTTGAACTAAAAAAGGGGGGAGGATCTCAAAAGCTCCACTCATCCAATGAAATGTTTATTGAGCACCTACTATGTGACAGGCAGTGGGCTGAGAGGCTCTGGAGAGACCAGAATGAACATTACAGACACAGTCACTGTCCTAAATAAACTTGCAAGGGGGACCCCTTGGTGACTCAGTCGGTTAAGGGTCTGCCTTCGGCTCAGGTCATGGTCCTATTTTAGGGTCCTGGGATGGAGCCCAGGATTGGGCTCCCTGCTCAATGGGGAGTCTGCTTCTCCCTCACCCTCTGCCTCTACCCCGGCTTGTACTCTCTCTCAAATAAATAAATAAAATCTTTAAAAAAGAAACAAACTTGTGAGGCCATTATATATAATGGGTATTGATATGAGTACCTTAATAAACAAAAATATATCAGTTGTAGAAAAAAATGTCCAAATTATAAGCAGAATAATTACATTCCTGTTGAGAGAATGATTCTAGAATTCTACTTATGTTAATTAACTATAACATTAACACCTATTACAACTATTTCTTAAATGCCTATAGTGGTATTAGCAGGGGTTGCCCTTTCCCCTCCCTCCAACTTGTAAATATCTTCCCTGGCACTGGAAATTCCTTTTCTGAGACTTAGTAGGTAACAGGGGAGAAGGACTTGAGGGCTAAGTATTCTAAGTACCATGCAGCATGGTTCCTGCCCTCCAGGAATTTGTTTCTATTTATATAAGCAATAAAGTATATAACATTTCTCTTGGCCTCTCATAAGATGCATGTTTAAGAAGGAATTTTAAGAGTCTAGTCTTTCTACTGGGTTAACAATTTTCAAAGCCCTCAGACCTTTAGGTCTGATCCTTAGGGAGCTCAGAAATGTCCATGAGCTTGCAGTGTTACTGTTTTTGTTTGAAGATACAGGATGATTTATCTGAGACATCCCTCTCCTTACCCTCCACTCCTAGCAAGCTTGCGGGGAATCACACCAGAGTCCCTGTTTCTCAGTAGCAGCCCTGGGACTGTTTCATCCTAGCCTATTCAAGCTGACATTTCTGGAAGAACCACATTTCCCCTTAAATTACTGCAGGTCGCTGTGATCTTGGGATACAGCAGTGTTGAGAGGTTCCAGGGAAAGGACATGATGTCTGTACAGACTCTCCGTGAATCCCAGCTCTGCTACCTGTTAGCTGTGTGACCTTGGACACAACCTTTCTGAGCCAGTTTTCTATCTGCCAAAGAGAGATGATGGAGGGCGGTGGTGACACACGCAAGCTCTGGGCTCAGGCAGATCTGGGCTCAGGTCCTGGCTCCCTCTTATCCTGGCAATGTAAACTAGAGGAAATTATTCTCCCCCCTCCTAAGCTTCAGTTTTCTCTGCAAAATTGAGAGTCACATAGCATCCGCCTCAGAGAACTGTGAGATTTAAATGGGATAATGCATATACATGCCTCAAGTAAAATAAGCCCTAAGTACATGTTAACTCCTTTATACAGTGACCGCATGAAAATGTGCCTAGAGAAGGGCTTGATGCACAGGTGACTTACTGACCCTTTTGGTCTCTCTCCCATCCTCCTGGACTGACTTGAACACAAATGTGGCATTATTAATACCACTTTGGGCAGAATGGCATAAGGTTAGGGAGAATTCTCCCATACCTGTACTCCTTTCCTTGCCTCCTCATTGCACTCGATCCCCTTGGTTTCCCCGTACAACACCTCACTCTTCCCAGTGACAGACACACTTGCCTCTCTGCCATGTAATCCAATCAGCAACAGGGAGATGGATTCTTGGCCAGAGCAGACTAGCATTTGCATTCTCTTCCTGCTAGCTGCATCAAAGGGCATCTGGAGGGAAAGTACCTCCCCAACTGTGACAGACAATCAAGCAGA